GCCCCCAAAACTTTAGAACAAATTCAAATATATCAATTTTATTTTACTATTTGAAATTGCCCTGTTGTCTCTGCATGAACCTTGACCAATCATTTGGGAGCTCAAGATTGTAGCCAACTTTGGTTAAAGTTGAATTGAAAAGTTAACGGACAGGAAAGTAACTGTGGAGCATCTGTAGTTAACACATAGGTTATATCTAATAATAAGAGCATATCAACGCATGACCTACTTACCTTAATACTTTAATAAAAGGAGAAATAAAACGAATGTCCAGAATGCATACAGATGAGATAGAATATATAAATAGAATACATGCAGTAGTTACTTTGTTGCTTGCAGTGTTGATTGGCCTAATAACCATTGACTAGGTTTTTTAAAGCTCTAGGAGAGTAGCGCAAGTAGAAAAAATAGATTACATATCACATTAGTCATTTATTGTAAAGTTTTAATATTTTTACAGCACATACATTTTGATTACAATAATGCTTATTTGAAAGTAATTTTGAGGGCAGCTTTTGTTTACCTTCTGTTTTATATATTTATGACAAGTACTGAGTTTTTTCTATGTATGTCAAACATATGCAGTCAACAAATATCTGCAGATATAAAAATGAAAAGTAATGCGCAATCAATGTATTGCACTGAACTACTAGGAAGGAAGCACAGATGGCCTATTTATGCAACAGAAAATCTGTCTCTCCCTGATATATACAGTATATGCATAAATGTATATATTTATACATTGCCAACAATATTACACAACACTTAACATATTGTACAGGCACCTCAGTTCCCACCCTCATTTAGCTTGCAATATAAGGTCCATACAGGCATGAACTAAGGCTAATTTAAAGAGGAGTAAATAAATGCACCAGCATGGGAGGAAAGCAGAGTACCTGGAGGAAACCCACACATGTACAGAAAGAATATGCAAACTCCATGCAGGTCATATACTACAAGGTAGCAGGGATAAACATAACACATTGGTTCTTGCACAACTCTTTATTGGTAATGTATTCATTAACTAAAGCTCTATGCTAGACATCAGCTAACCATTTTAAATCAGGGGTCAAGTGCCTAACAAATAAATGCATTTCATTTTCGTAAAAGGCCCACTTTAAATAAAGATCCACAGATTAACATAAAAATGTAACCACTAGCAAACCACCCCTTGTATTTTTACTGTGGCAGGTTGACTTTTTGTGCTGGATCATGTACATGTATGTGATCCAGCATTTCTGGATAGGGGTCGCACATGCACGTCCGCCACCTCGTCTGTGCTGTCATTCGGTACAGCACAAGTCTGTCAGCAGGTCCTGGCCAATGACTTATGGTTGTAACCTGCTGGTCGGCTTAGCGAATCCCAGTACAGAGTCCTGTGTTTACTAACAACACAGGGCTCTGTACATGGAGCATGCTTTGCAGGGAGAAAAAAACAGCCACATCTCTTAGTAAAAGCAGCACATATTACACACATTACCCATTGTTAGACACATATTTAACCTTTTGGTTGCCCTTAGATGTTAACCCCTTCGCAGCCAGTGTCATTAGTATACATAGGGTATTATCAACAACATTGTCAGAAACATTTGTATAACAATACACTTTTTTTGGAGAAGTGAAGTCATGGTCAAAAAAAAAATCCTACCTTACATCAACCAATTTACTCTCAAATATGCAAACAGCTTATTGAAATTCTTATATTCAACAATATGTTAGTCCCAACTTTAAGCTGTAAAATTCAGTTCCAGTCCAATGAAATCTATGTCCTTTAGGAAGCATGTTTGCAGTACAGTACAATACTCTGAGACAACAAAGGCTTCTGTGAACACATTAAAACAAGTTCTTGGTGCTTGGCTGTGCCCATAGAACATTGGTGCTCATGGTGGTGGACCCTTTTTCAGCAGACTTCCCAATTTCAGCGAGAAAATAAAGAACAGTGGATACTTTTAAATATTTAGGGACACAGATATCTCAGAACCTAAAGGATTCTGTCAACATAAACATGCTTCACTTATTGTTTAAAATCCAAATGTGGATTTTGGTGTAAACTACCATTGTCATGGGAAGGAAAAACATGGTTAGAATGACATTAATGCCATAATTATTATACACCATACACAACATTCCTGTGTGGATTCCAAAAAATATCTTTAGACAAATTGGTTTACTGTTTAGAGCTTTAATCTGGAAATGTAGCCAGGCTAGAATCAAACTTGAAACTCTTCAGCTCCCAAAGGATGCAGGAATCTTAGATGTTCCCAACACTAAATTATACTTTTTAGCTTCACAATTACAGCAAACTTCAGGATGGGGTACATTAGCCATCGAACACTCAACACAAAAGATAAAGGTGGCTGCCTTCTGACAGGGCACTTTCAAAAAAGCTAACAATACCCTACTATTGCTCTTTTTCACATAGCATGGACAGCTGAAAACCCATAACCAAACATACTCAGTGGAAAGGATCTGTCAATTCCTTTTTTGGAGAGGGAAAAACTTTTGTAGATCACGGGGGTCCCGTCAAAAATTTTACTAACTATGGAAACAGTAGCTAGACTCCCCTTCACTTCCCCCCCACCAGTCATACACTAAATAGACTATTACAGTAAAATGACCAGGGAGTTCCCCTTAGTACCCCTCAACCCACAAGCCTAATCATATAAGTCAAGATGTACTGTATTAATAGATCTATTTATATTGCAGCGAGGCTGGGTCAGAATCCAACCATTCCAATTCTGCATATGTTTATGCACCAATAAAATATATAAAATGACCATGACCAAATGAATATAGGTTTACAGTAACTAATATCTGTAATAATGAGATAAATCTATCTTGTTGTATGTCATGACTATTAGAGTTATTGATATGTTAAATGCGTATGATTATATTAAGGTGATCAAGGCAGATGCTTAGAAAAAAATGTAACTGTTTGTAATGCAGTTCTTTCTCTTTTCCTTTTTTTTTTCGTTTCAAATAAAAAAATACTTCATTAAAAAATGTACACACACCCTAATATTACAATGTTTTTTGAAGAAAGTATCTTTGCCTTCAAAGCTGTAGTGTGTTGCACTCCCTTGCTAGTCTATGTTTCACTCTTATGCGACCCACTAAAGTTTACAACTTACTTGTAGAGAAAAAAAAACCAAATATATATATATATATGTTTCATTGAAATACATCCTTATAGGGTTTGCATGTCTCATGTCTAAGGTGATTGTAGCCATATTAGTGCACTTGCAACAACACAGTTGACTTCTGTTCATGACACTTTTTTCATGACACTTTTTTATTTGCACTAACAGTTACATTTTCTGTATAAGCTTTCAATTCCTATCCCTGTTTTCTAATGTCTAAGCAGTACCATAGAAGAAAATGGTAGACTTCAAAATGTTGTCTTTAGAAACTGTTGTTGCATGTCTAAAGTTCTATATTTTCTTGCATGTTTTATTTGCACTATATTTATTTATTTTCTGTTCTTCTTTGCTACTGCATGCACAGGTTCCAGTAAGTAGACCAACATAGATTTAACTATAGCAATTAGATGCTGTAGGGCTCTTATTTTTGTATTGTCTTCACAGTCTTAATTTGAAAAGTGGCTTGAATAAAACAAGTATTATACACCATAATAATTTCGTTATGGTGTCCAGCTGCATATTTCTCACAATAGCTTTTTCACTGCCAATGTTATGAAGCTTATAATTAACAGCAATTATTCCCAATGGAATATAAACTAAAAAATATTTAACTAAGCAATTAACAAGTTACTGCTCCCTGCCAAAGTACAGGACACAGCAGCATATTTGATATTTAATTAGTTCACTACTAGTTTCATCCAGTTGTCTTTTCCATTGCCATCAAGGCTAGGTTACTGGCTATTAATAGCTTCCTCTATCCATCGTGTCCGTTAGCTTTTGTTGAGTAGACATAAATGCTGCACCATGACTGGTACAGCAAACAAAGTGTTGGAGTCCAGTAACAATTAATGATCTGATTATGGATGAATTTTTAATCAGTAAAAATGATTAACATCTTGGGAAAAGTTAAGACTGTGTAGCATTTCCTGCTTCAATTTAGACAAATTGTAATGTTATAATTTAAAAGTTGTTGTTCCTTTTAAATACAAGTCCTTTTGAAAATTTTAAAGAGAATATATATCCAGTAACTAGAAATTGAATAAAAGCATATAGTTTTAGAACAGTTAAACATAACAGTAAATCGAATGCACTGCTTAATACCCACAGCAACTAATGACAAATTAACTGTTCTCAGTTTTATATGTTATGTCATAAGTTGATTTTGGTCACAAAATGGTTTGTTTGTGTTCATATTCCACTTACATTACATAGGCTGTACTGCTTGTAGAATTTATTCTCTATGGGAGGTCATCAGAAGGTACAAATGGGCATTATATGTAAGGATGACCATAGATGCCTAATTTTTTTTTTTTTTTGATCAGCAAAAAAAAAGAAAGGATTCCCCCATTCACAGATGTGAGGTGGACAGAGAAATCCACCCTACTGTGCCATTGTATTTTGACAGCTGAACTCCTCTTCTGTCAGAATACACAGACCAGTGGATGCAGCTGCTGATCAACAAAAGTCTTCCAACAGTCCCATTTGGCAGAAGTTGATCATTAGATCAACTTCTGTCAATCATAAACTGCCATAGATGGGTCAAAAATTTTGGCCAGCTCAGCAGGGACAGGGACAAGACTGCTTTAAAACCACCTCCCACCCGCCATATAGTACAATGATGGGTGCAAGGTGGTTGTCTCGTTCTGGGAGGACGTCATATGACGTCTTCCCATTCTAACCGAGCATGCGCAGCTCGGGGATTGCGCTGTGTCCCTCGGACACAGCAGATCACCGATCAAATGAAAGAGCCGAAGATGTCGGCTTGATCATGTGATCAGCTGTGTCATGTAAATAGGGAAATTCCGGTTATCGGCATTTCTCTCCTCACAAGCTGTCACGCTGACAGCTCGAGAGGAGAGGAGAGCCAGTAATCGGCATCTCTCAGAGAGGACATGTGCACTGATGATCAGTGTGCCCTGATGATTTGTGTAGCCCCAGCAGTGCCACCTGTCAGTGTCCATCAGTGCCAGCTGTCGTTGCTCATCCATGCCAGTGCCCATCAGTGCCACATCAATGTCACATATCAGTGCCTACTAGTGCACATCAATGCCACATATCAGTGCCCATCTGAGCTGCCTTTTAGCGTCACCCATCAGTGCCAGTCAGTGCCACATATCAATGCCAGTCAGTGCCACCTATCAGTGCTGCCAATCAGTGCCACCTATCAGTGCCAGGTAGTGCCGCTTATCAGTGCCAGTCAGTGCCGCCTATCAGTGCGCATCAGCGCTGCCTATCAGTGCCCATCAGTGCCACCTAACAGTGCCAGTCAGTGCCACCTATCAGTGCCAGTCAGTGCTGCCTATCAGTGCCAGTTAGTGCCACCTAGCAGTGCCATATATGAGTGCTGCCTTTTAGTGCCCATTGGTGATGCCTGTCAATGCCCATCAGTGCTACCTACCAGTGCCTCCTCATCAGTGCCACCTATTAGTGTCCATCAGTGCAGCCTATCAGTGCCCATCACTGCAGTCTCATTAGCGCACATCAGTGAAGGAGACAAATCACTTATTTACAAAATGTTATAACAAAAACTAAGAAAAACTTTTTTTTTCAAAATTTTCAGTGGTTATTGGTTTGTTTAAGAAAAAAAAAAAAAAACCCAGAGGTGATTAAATGCCACCAAAATAAATCTTTATCTGTCTCCAAAAAATGATAAACATTTCATATAGGTACAGTGTTGCATGACCGCGCAATTGTCATTCAAAGTGTGACAGCGCTGAAAGCTGGAAATTGGCCTGGGCAGCAAGGGGGTAAAAGTGCCCTGTAGGCTAGTGGTTAATTTAGCTACTGACAGGTTAAGTCTGTTGTAACAACTTTTAAAAACCCATGGGTGAATATAGATAACTACAATGCCATAATAGCATAGCACCTGTGAAGTACTTCTGAAGGATATGGAGGTGAATTTTGATCTGGATCATAAAAAAACAGTATTGTCTTTCTTTTAGTTTAACTTCAGTCGTGTATCATGCTGTGTTTTTTGTCATACTGTATGCCTACTGCATCTGAACTGCTTTTATTCCTCAATACAAGTCACTCTAAATGCAATATGCTACATTTTAGCAACTCTTACTCTATAGATATGAATGAATAACATACAGTATGTACTGCACATGCATGCAGGATGCCTCCAACTTACAAGCCGACAACAATGCACTGTTTAATTGGGCAACTATGTGGCAAATGAGGTTTAATGTTGATAAATGTAAGGTTATGCACTTGGGGGCTAAGAATATGCATGTATCATACATACTAGGGGGGAATCAATGGTGGAGAAGGATCTGGGAGTTCTGGTAGATCACAAGCTTAATAATGGCATGCAATCCCAAGCTGTAGTTTCTAAAGCAAGCAAAATCCTCTCTTGTATTGAAAGAGGTATAGACTCCCCTTTACAAATCATTAGTAACACCTCATCTGGAATATGCAGTTCAGTTTTGGGCACCAATTCACAAAAAGAACATTGGGGAACTGGAGAAAGTACAGAGAAGGACAACTAAACTGAGAAGAGGCATGGAGGAGCTCCGCTATGAGGAAAGATTAGAGGAACTGAATTTATTCTCTCTTGAGAAGAGGAGATTAAGGGGGATATGATCAACATGTATAAATACATCAGTGGTTCATATAGTGAACTCGGTGTAGAGCTATTCACCTCGAGGCCATCACAGAGTACAAGGGGCCACTCTTTACATCTGCAGGAAAAGAAATTTAATCTCCAAACACGGAAAGGTTTCTTCACAGTGATAGCTGTGAAAATGTGGAATAGACTCCCATAAGAGTTGGTTCTGGCCAGCTCAGTGGATTGCCTCACAAAAGTCCTGAATTGTTTCTTAGATACACAGAATATAACTGGATACTAACATTTATAGGTAAAGTTGGTCCAGGGAATATGCAATTGCCTCTCAGGAGATCAGGAAGGAATTTTTTCCCTGCAGGAGAAAATTGGATCATGCTTTGCTGGTTTTTTTTGCCTTCCTCTGAATCAACTGTGGGTATAGGATTAGAACTTTTTTTCTATGGTTGAGCTGGATGGAATTTTTGTCTTTTTTCAGCCAGACTAACTATGTAACTCTTGAACGTGTGCCCTGGAGTTCTATCATCCAGATATCCAACTCCATCATCGAGATATTACAGATGCTGCTGGGCCATGAGTGTACACTGGAGTGCATATGTACTGCAGGCAGGTGTAAGCAGAAAAACAAATTGTTAGGAAAAGAGCAGCTTTTTTGGCAGAAGAGACATGGAAAGTCACATCTGCCAAAAACTCTACTTTATAGCTTTTTTAGATCAGTTTTACAGTTTAATTCTACAAAATTTTATCTATTGTGGAAAATGATTAGTAACCCCTGTGCTACCTGTGTTGCTAAAATAAAGTGATTAAATGAAAATTGTCCCAACTGCTGCCAACACCTTTATTGTGATCCCACAATGTGACAAGGAAAGTGCATGGTGTAGTGCTGCTACTGAAAAGAACCAATAATATAGTGACTGTGTAAATAAAAATAACTAAAATATCTGTAATATTATTGTTAATATATAAATAAATAATACACAGTGAGTGTGTGTGTGTGTGTGTGTGTGTATATATAAAAAAAAAGTATAGATATAATGAAATGAAGCTCAATGATACAACACAACGTATATACAGTTTAACGCTTCATGCAATGACCACTACTAAATGTTTCCATCAATTCCAATTGGTGTTAAATGTGTAACAGTTCATTCTTTCTTCCGTGATCATAAATTCCACACTAATATCATATCTCTTCTTGTGTTCCTATACTTTAAACACACGTGACACCACAGTGCTCACAGAACTCTCACCTCCAATGGTTTATAACATCGCAAGTATAAGATGCCCACCAGGGTCTTTCAATATTTCGAGCACTCCCACGCCTCCAGTCAACTAAGGACTCTCCAACTGTCTACCTCGTTAACTCCAAACACCAGGGGTATGGTTCCTTTAAGGCTCCTTATTATTCATACGGCCATATTTGCCTTCCTGGTGCAGCACTGGACTGTCACTTGAGCTCAGCACACCTCAGAATAATACAGGTGAAACTCGAAAAATTAGAATATCGTGCAAAAGTTCATTTATTTCAGTAATGCAACTTAAAAGGTGAAACTAATATATGAGATAGACTCATTACATGCAAAGCAAAATAGTACAAGCCGTGATTTATCATAATTGTGATGATTATGGCTTACAGCTCATGAAAACCCCAAATCCACAATCTCAGAAAATTAGAATATTACATGCAATCAATAAAACAAGGATTGTACATAGAACAATATCGGACCTCTGAAAAGTATAAGCATGTATATGTACTCAGTACTTGGTTTGGGCCCCTTTTGCAGCAATTACTGCCTCAATGCGGCGTGGCATGGAAGCTATCAGACTGTGGCACTACTGAGGTGTTATGGAAGACCAGGATGCTTCAATAGCGGCCTTCAGCTCTTCTGCATTGTCTGGTCTCATGTCTCTCATCTTTCTCTTGGCAATGCCCCATAGATTCTCTATGGGGTTCAGATCAGGTGAGTTTGCTGGCCAATCAAGCACAGTAATCCCACTGTCATTGAACCAGGTTTTGGTGCTTTTGGCAGTGTGGGCAGGTGCCAAGTCCTGCTGGAAAATGAAGTCAGCATCCCCATAAAGCTCGTCTGCGGAAGGAAGCATGACGTACTCCAAAATCTCCTGGTAGACGGCTGCGTTGACCCTGGACTTAATGAAGCACAGTGGACCAACACCAGCAGATGACATGACTCCCCAAATCAACACAGACTGTGGAAACTTCACATTGGACTTCATCTTGCAGTGTGTGCCTCTCCATTCTTCCTTCATACTCTGGGTCTTTGGTTTCCAAATGAGATGCAAAAGTTGCTCTCATCAGAAAAGAGGACTTTGGACCACTGAGCAACAGACCAGGTCTTTTTTTCTTTAGCCCAGATAAGACGCTTCTGTTGTTGTTTGTTGTTCAGGAGCTGCTTGACCAATAGGAATACGACATTTGAAGCCCATGTCCAGGATCCATCTGTGTGTGGGTGGCTCTTGATGCACTGACTCCAGCCTCAGTCCACTCCTTGTGAAAGTCCCCAACACTTTTGAATGGACTTTTCCTGACAATCCTCTCCAGGCTGCGGTCATCCCTGTTGCTTGTGCACCTTTTTCTTCCACACTTTTCCCTTCCACATAACTTTATATTAATGTGCTTTGATACAGCACTTTGGGAACATCCAACTTCTTTTGCCATTACCTTTTGAGGTTTTCCCTCCTTATGTTGGGTGTCAATGATGGTTTTCTGCACAACTGTCAGGTCAGCAGTCTTTCCCATGATTGTGATTCCTACTGAACCAGACTAAGAGACCATTTAAAGGCTCAGGAACCCTTTGCAGGTGTTATGGCATAATTAGCTAATTAGAGTTTGACGCTTTGAGCCTAGAATATTGCACCTTTTCACAATATTCTAATTTTCTGAGATTGTGGATTTGGGGTTTTCATGAGCTGTAAGCCATAATCATCACAATTATGACAAATCACAGCTTGAACTATCTTGCTTTGCATGTAATGAGTCTATCTCATATTAGTTTCACCTTTTAAGTTGCATTACTGAAATAAATGAACTTTTGCAAGATATTCAAATTTTTTGAGTTTCACCTGTGTGTGTGTGTGTGTGTGTGTGTGTATGTATGTATGTATGTATGTATGTGTGTATATATATATATATATATATATTGTGGCAGTGCGGTATCCTGCCACGGTGGAAATCATGATGGAGACCCAGGATTCTCAACCATGCAGGTTGAGGGGCTCCAGGCAGTTCTCATAATGCAGAGGAAACGGGTTTATAAGTTTCCTCTTTGGTTTGTAAAGCCTGTTTTGGGACCTGTTGCCTGGAGATTTCTAAGAGATTTGGGAGGGATGAAATCTCCAATCCTGGGCCCATATTTTGGGAGCAGCCAGTGTGCTGATTGCACAGGTGTGTGCAGGCCTTTTTGTGGAGGCCAGGCCATGAGTCTGAGCTCCACCCTGGCAGTTAGGAGGACTCCACCCAGGCAGACGGGAGGTCTCTGCCGTGGAGTCAGGTGGGCTACACCTAGGAGAGGTGGAAGCCAGACTAGCTGTGTGCTAGTGCCATACTTTGGGGAAGAGTCTGCAGGAGGCAGACTTAAAACTGCGTACAAGCCAGGAGGCTGAATACTGTTTATTTGAATTCGTGTGATGGTGGATACCCCTGCGTGGGAAGAATTTTGGTTGTTTGAACTTTCTTAAATAAAAGTGGGCAAACAGGCC